ACAAGTTAACTAGTGTGCACATTTTGGCCATCACTAGTTAACTAGTGAGACACAAAAACCTTCAACTAGCTGACTGGTATGCATTTTGGTCTTTACTAGTTAACTAGTGAGCCATTTATGTGTCAACTAGTTATCTAGTGAAGCCAAAATATGTTCACTAGTTAACTAGTGCGCATTTATGTCTACCACAAGTTAACTAGTGTGCACATTTTGACCCTCACTAGTTAACTAGTGAGACAAATACCTTCAAGTAGCTGACTGCTATGCATTTCTGCTTTTACTAGTTAACTAGTGAGCAGTTTTTGTGTCAACTAGTTAACTACTGAAGCCTAAATGTGTTCACTAGTTAACTAGTGCGCATTTCTGCTGTCACTAGTTAACTAGTGGGCACATTTTCACCCTCGATATTTAACTAGTTGACACAAACATGTCTAACTAGTTAACTAGTGGACAGAAATGGCTTACATGTTCATGACAATTCTGGCTGATATCCTGATATCAGAATAAATGCTCATTTGGCTTGCCATACCGGGGACATGTCCCCGGCAAAATTTGTGATTGGCAGCTGTGTCCCCCCACTTTCAAAAAAGCCTGCCTTTATTGTCCCCAGCAATTTTTAAACCCCACTCAAGTGTATGGTTATTGTCCCCAGCAATTCTGAAAACAAACTGACGCCCTTGTGTATAACCCTTAGTTTAGGAAAAAATAGTTAAATTAATTTTATAAACTATATACTTGATTCTGTCTGAAGTAATACGAAGTGTGTTTATGGTCACTAAAGAAGCAAAGAACCCTAGAATCTTCAGATTGAACATTCAAAGATCAATCAGATTGATATTTCATATTTATATGGAATCATCACATCTTATTGGTCATAATTAACATGTAGTCTTTCCTGCTACATAGAAAATAGGGTTTTTAGCCGTATTGACTTTCACTGACTTTTTGTTCTTCCAGGGAACCATGGTCCGTAAGTAGATGGGCGTTAATTAGGCACCCCATACCTGTCAGGTGAGTAGTTGAGCAAGGTGGAGGTGTGACGAGACTCAGCAGGAGTCCAGTGCAGTGCAGCCACGTAGTATTGTACTGACAACGCCACCCCGCAAGTGCTACGGCAATCAGCTGTGGCTGATTCTAATTCAATGTGGCACAGAGTTTTTACCTGAAGATGGACAGAAAATTACTGTTTTGGTATTAAATATTAAGTTTAAAATAAGTTGCAATAAACTGCCAAAATAATGATCACACATGTGCACAGCACTATTATACACTCATCTATACAGGTTATTAGCAAAAAAATCGTTAATTTAGATGTTACCCCCAACCCCATCCGCCACATGGGGGCCCTACGCAGGAACATATTTCAAGAATGAAGGTGTTCAGCTGTGTGGTGCAGTTGCTAATGCTAATGGCTAGGTTCTACCAGCTGAGACATTCTTTGCTGTTTCCTGGACGCTAAATCAACAACAGCCTTCCCTGTCATGAGTCAAGATGGGTGAGTCCATGAATATTAAGTGGCAGTGTGGCGTAGATCTGTCTGGATTTTCTGAACCAAAAGTCTATTTTCTATCAGAAGCTATTGCAGGAAACAGAGGTAGAAGATTATTTTTACGTTCAGCCTGCATGTTAAACTCAGTGACTGATTATTTTCTAAAATTATAATTAAACGGCTTTTCAGTGAACCTGCTCTTTAAAGAGGAGCCTCAACTCAGACACATCAAAGGAGAAGAGTTGAGATAGTCCAAGCATGTGGTGACGATGATCTCTTGGCACTGGAAGGTCTTCCATACACGTCCCAATCCCAAACCCAGGATCGGCTTTGCGTTTCTCTTTTTGTCCCTAGCTGAAAACCAGGAAAGTGTTCCTGGGGAAAAGGAAGCCTGATCTCCTCTGAAGCTGCTGCCCTGGTGACCCAGTTCTGCCTACGAGGCTAAAAGATGAAGGCTAAAGATGTTTGGAGGCTAGGAAACTTGAGGCAGAATGCTTTAAAGAAACCAAAAAATAATAAGGTGGACCGCAAAAGCCAAGCAAGCAAACTGTGTCAGAATTAAAAACATTTTTGGAAAAATGCCAGCTGATAACTGTTTAAGTGATGAAACAGGAAGTGGGCAACCTTAAGAAGAGAAGCACATGCCCAGCTTCAAAAAACACTTCAAAGTGACCTCTGTGACTCGTTCTCATCAACACAACTGAATCACACATGCTTACAGGAAAGGTGTCTCCCACAGGGACACACACACGCCTTGAGGTTTCTCTCCAGATGTTGTCACTTCCTGTTTACTGCCGGCCTAAAAACCACAGTTAGCTACTTCTGCTACACTCTTTTAGGCGACTGTCCCTCTCACAGAGCGAGGTCAGGGGGAAGCAACAGGACCCTCCTCACACACATACACGCACGCACGCACGCATGCACGCACACACGCACACACACACACACACACACACACACACACACACACACACACACACACACACACTACCAGAGGCCTGTTTACATGCTGCGTAAATCTGCAAGATGTTTTTACACACCTCTTCCTCCCTATAGACCCAAGTTGTGATCTCTGCAGAAGCAGTGCAAGCCACAGTCACTGCTGTAAGCTTTCATCGGTCCAACAGAAGAGGAGAAAACACATCTTTATTTTCTTCATGTTGGGTAAAGGCTGCTGCTTTCAAGCATGTGCTCAGTCAAACGCTTCTTCCTGTTTACAACTGCATGGAAGATAATATCTATGGAAGTATGGGTGTTCAGATCACGCCACTTGTGGAATAATTAGACTGCTGCTTATCTGCAATTGAACCTTTTAAATGAAGAATCTTTCCTTATGTTTTGCATATTGTTGTGCTGCCAGTTCTATAAACACTCCAAATGTGAAAAGAATTCATCCATTCTTTTTCTGTCCTTGTTTTAGAAATATGCCTTAAACAAGGCATCTCAAAAATGTGAAATCACATTAAAAGAACCATCTCTCACGTGCAAGAGACAGCTTCTGAATGGGGAGCAGCAGCTTTACTCTTAGCCCCTCCCAAATATCGGAGCTTGTAAAATCCAAAAGGGTGTCTGTGATTCCTTTGTGTTACTTATGATTTTCACCTGCAGACAATATAATTATTTAGGTAACAGAGCAGAATTGGGATCACTACTGACTGATTTTAATGACCTTTTCACACACAAGGCTAGTTGGTACCATTCACTTACAATGTTTTATGCTAAGCTAAAGCTAAAGGAGTACTGCCACATCAGGAGAATGACTGGACTGGGCTGGTTACACACACACACACACACACACACACACACACACACACACACACACACACACACACACACACACACACACACACACACACACACACACATCTAACAATGGGGAAAATGGCAACAGAAGAAATTTTACTTAGGGGTGGAATATCCCTTTGAGATGACAGAGCCCTGAAGCGGCTCATTCTGGAAGGTACCAAAATTGTCAAGAATAAAGCTGCTCAGATGTGAGAGGGATTTAGTGTAAAGAACTTCATAAACATGTTTTGTTTTGACCATAAAACTATTTAACTTAAGAAAACAAGTCATAACATGTCACCTTTAAAATAAAACTCAAATGTTTCCTTGAGTTGCACCAAAAGCAGAGATCAAATGTGAGCAAATTAAGAGTTTCCACTGAATTAGGAGCAGATCCCGAATCTTTTCAGAGGAGCTACTGAAGACCTCGGGATGACACACCAAAACCAAATCAAAAACCTATGAGTTTCGCTTTTTATTTTACAGGTAATTTGCACTGAAACATGAGATGTAACAAATCAAGAACACCAATTGAGATGGAATTTCCGAATGTCTCAAAGGTTCCTTTCCTCGTCATTTCATTTGGAAATTTTCTTAAAAAATAACCCTGCAAAACATTTTCTCTCCAAATAGCAACAGAATCATCAAAAGCATCTGGAACCCGTTTCAAACTTGCTTCCATGAGTCAGAAAGTGTGAAAAATTCAGCATTCCAAACTTAGGAAAAAAGTTATTATAATGACAACAAACTGACTGAATGAAGGCAGAAATCTGAAGAAATGAAATGTGCAATATTTTGCAGTGTCATCCCAAAAGTTGCAAATACAAAAGCTCCTCTGCTCTGAGGAGGTTCTGCTAGTGTTATTGCACATTAACTGTCCGTGCAAGCTTCAGGAAACACTAACTTTCACGTCTTCTCCCAAACAGTTGATTTATAATCTCACAAACAGTTTTTGACGTTGGTCAAACTTAGATATTATTATAAATGCTTAGTTTAGTTTAAATTAGTAACAACATTATTTTAAACAATGGCTGTATAAAGAAAACACTTTAGGCATGTTTAAGGTCAGATGACTGTGTGTGTGTGTGTGTGTGTGTGTGTGTGTGTGTGTGTGTGTGTGTGTGTGTGTGTGTGTGTGTGTGTGTGTGTGTGTGTGTGTGTGTGTGTGTGTGTGTGTGTGTGTGTGTGTGTGTGTGTGTGTGTGTGTGTGAGAAAGACAAAGAGAAAGAGCATCATGAGAGAACAGAGCAGCTGAGGGAAAGTGTGACCAGCAGCTTTAACCCAGCGGATTTCTCTGACCCACTTATGAGGAGCAGGATTGATTTATGGGACTTTCCTCAAGAAATGTCTGTAGCTTTTTTATTCTGATAAAGGCTCAAACTGAGACGTTTCACCATCAACCAGTTAATTATTGGTGAGAGGTGCACTAATCTGTAACTGTGCTATCTGAAGGGCAGGCCAGCAGCCACACCAGACAGCCTGAGGCTCAGTTTAAAGCATGCAAAAAGAAAAATCATTCAGAAAAGACTCTTTTTTAAAAGGATTATAATCAGCTGATCGTTACTCGTTACTTCATGCAGACTCTGATTATTAAAGAGGCTCAGATGAGCTGAAAACTTTTCTCAGATCTTCCGGAGAACTCTTAAGTTGCTTTTGCTAAAAACCAAGGAGGGTCAGGAGCTCCCAGTCTTCTGGCATATGAAAAAGATCAGAGATCCTAACTTACCCACTCCACCAGTTTAATAAACCCGAGAGGCTCCTTTAAGGGGGACAAGTTGAGTCGAAAACCGGTCATCATGATTCGGATCCGAAGTTTTTATCCAGCTTTTTCCCAAACTGTGGATGAACAGGGAGGAAAGAGTGGGAGTTGCTTGACACGGTGACGTGGGTTTTCCTGCAAGCGCTGCAAAAAATGAGCAGACCGAGTTCATTCAGCGAGTTTTTCAGCTCGAGTCTAAAACAAAAAGATTCCTGATCTGCTTACTGCGAGGTTAAAACCACACATCAGGGAGCGGGTCCTGAGGTCGCGTGGGGATTTTTTCCAGCGCAGTTTGAAGACTCGACACCCTGGCTCTGCTCTGCCTGGTGACGCGCACACGAAGCTGCGCGTAAAAGTGTGCCAAACGTCCCCACCGCGCGCTTCACGTGGTGAAACGCAAATAATAGGTTTTGATTTTCCTCAAACGATTAAAAATAACGCAACAAATCTTCAAATGTCCTGCAATTGTTTCAGAAATGGTTAAGGGGGTTTACAGGGAGGGGAAAATCATGCAAATTGAAAACAGGAGATTCGGTTCCGCAGGGGAGTGAACTCATTCGGAGACTGAAGAGAAAGAATCTGTTTCCATTGGATGGGAGGATATGGAGGTTGCCTCCTTGCTGAGTCTGCAGCTGCTGACTCGGTCATATGACTCGGATAAAGGTGGAGGGGGGTCAGCCGCTGCGACTTGGAGATAAAACTTTAAGAACTTTATTCAAAAACTGCTCCTTTAAAACATCTCAGCTTCAGGACAATTAGATAAAGATGCATCAACCCTCCCCCTTACGCTGTTTCAGTTAGTTGTTTAGTTAGTTGTTTATTGTTTGCCGTTTGCAGTCTCTCTCTCTCTCTCTCTCTCTCTCATCCAGATGTCAAACATCAGCCATGACACCCCCCAACCCCCGCGCAACTCTGCAGACTTCTGCAAAAAGCAGGTAAAATGGAGGTCAGGGAAATCCCCAATATAATAAAATAAAATAACGTGATTCTGATTCAGTTGTAATCATTGAATCTGATGCATGAACAAGTTCAGCATTTATGATTCGACAAAAATCAGCAGCCATACTTATTTTAACCATATAGAAAAAACTTAGAAAGATTTTCTTCATATTTTGTTTCAAGTGACCAAAACGTGACTCTCTCTATCTATTATTCCTGCTAGAAATGGGGTTAGATTAGTTAGAATGTAAAATTTGAACAGGTCAAAGGTCAGATAGCAAAGTGAAACTTGTCAGAATGTCATGGTCCGTGGTGAGCTGTCTGTCAGTATATGTGTTTGTCCTCTCTGCAGGTGGGCGTGTCTGAGAGCAATCAGCTGCAGCTGATCCTGTCATCAAGGCCCAGGGGATTTAAGGAGCAGTGTGACACAACACCACTCCACATGATTACTCTGTTTCGGGTAGATCTAGCCACTTGACCTGTCTGCTGTTTGTATTTTGAGATAACCAGTCACCCTTGCTCCTGTTTGTACCTTTGAGATAAACAGTCACCTGAAAGCCTCAAACTATCTCCCCTGTTCTCCTCCAGGTTCCCACTCTATCTCCCTTCTTCACCATACCAGCCCGGATTCCCGCACTCAGGCTCACATTGCTATTCCCCTGGCCGTCCGCTCCCAGCCGCTCACCTGCCTTCATCAACATCCTCACCAATGTCACCTTCGGACCACCTGTGTTTGCTCTCTGGATCCCTTCAGCTCTTCCGGACCTGACCAAGCCCCCTCCTTATTTTCCATCGCTCCTGGAATACACTAAGACCCATCTCAGCCAGCATATCCACCAACCATCCTAGGAACTTACTCTGTCTCTCTCCCCAGAAACCCACCTCGGAATATGCAGCACCTACAGTTCCCGTCTCTACTCCTTTCGTTCTTTTTATAATAAATCCATTATTTACTCTTACCTTGTTTCCGTGTATTGATTCTGCATGTCGCGGGTCAGAAAACTGCCTCCCAACATGACACAGAAGGCAAACTGGGCTTGTGACACCTGGAATAATAAAGGACATGCTGAGATTATGTTTAGAAACAACTATATTAAACAGATGAGGGGATTAAAACGGTGATATTCTTGATGCAGAATTTGATGCCATGTTTCCATCTACGGAAGCCTGTGAGGACAAAATGCATTTACTGATTTGTGACAAATGGTTACAAAACTTTCAGAATTAATAAACGTCGATTTACAAATTTACTTCTTCACTTGGTGCCAGTGATGAAAAGGAGTCTGATGTTCTTGTCATTTTGCTGGAGGTTGTGCTCCCAGTGATGTTTGACCCCAATGGGCATCCGTTGGTAAGGTCTTACTTGAACACAAAAATAATTCTTGCTTGCAATGATTTAGGTATCTACTTTCCCCATCACCAGGGAAAATACACTGTCACTTTAAGACTCTTATTGTGAAAGATCACAGGAAGTTCAATGGGCTCTGCTGCAGAAATAGCCAAAAGAAACACATTAAAAATAAGTTTACTTGGTTAAAAACAGCAGCGTAACCCTTGGTTACTATAATGATAATAGATTAACCCCTTGTGGTTCAGGAGTGCGCTGAGGTTCACTTCCTGTCTTAAATAACCCATTTCTGACTTCTTTCTTCACAATAATCTTGATAAGTCTTATTTCTTTATATGGATGGCTCTAATTAGAGCACTCCAGTAGAGGATTAATTCTCTACTGGAGTGCTTCCCAAACTTTTCAGCCTTAGACCCAGCAAAAGCTAAATAAGGAGAATTTTAAAAATCCTGCTCAAGCTCATGTTCCCTTAAACTCATTATTACTTTTATGAGTGTTTGAAACAATTATGCAGAAGCCGTTGATGTTGGCTCCCTTAATTTTGATTTACGAACTTTAAAACAAAACTCTAGAAAACTGGAGAGAACATGGCGCTCTACACACCAGGAGGAGTCCTACTTATCCTGGCAAAATAGTGTTGTGATTTATAAAAATAAGCTTCGCCATCTAGAACTGCTTATTTTTCATTGCTAATTGAGGAGAATAAGAATAATCCTGAATTTCTTTTCAGTACAGTTGCCAAACTTATACAGAATCATAACTCTGAGCCATCTATTCCCTTAGCCCTCAGCAGCAACAACTTTATAGGATTTTTCTTAAGTAAAATTAATTCTATTAGAAACTAAATCTTTAGCATCCTCCCTAATGCGATTTCTTCTTCCTCAGTAAGTGAGGCAGCATCAGAGGTGACTGTAGAACCTCATTTGTGTTTGAACCGTTTTGATCCAGTTGAGCTTTCAGAGTTATCAAAAATATTAGCTTCATCTAAACCTTCAACTTGCATTTTAGATCGTATCCCAAATTATTTAAAGATGCATTTCCTTTGGTTACTGCCCCCATTCTAGATATAATCAATCTATCCTTACGAAATGGGTATGTACCACAGGATTTTAAGGTTGCCGTAATCAAACCTTCACTTAAGAAACCTTCTCTGGATCCAGATGACCCAATGAATTATAGACCAATATCTAACCTTCCATTTTTATCCAAAGTCCTGGAGAAAATAGTGATCACCCAAGTATGTGAGCATTTAAACACTAATGTTCTGTTTGGGGTATTTCAGTCTGGTTTTAGAGAGTATCACAGCACTGAAACTGTGTTAGTGAGAGTTACAAATGATATTCTCATGGCCTCAGATAAGAATCTTGTGTTTGTTCTAGTCTTGTTAGATCTCAGTGCTGCCTTTGACACAGTTGATCACAATGTTCTTTTAGAAAGACTTGAACATGTTGTAGGGATCAAAGGAACAGCGTTAGGCTGGTTTAAATCCTACCTGTCTGATAGATATCATTTTGTAAATGTACATGACAAATCGTCTTCATACTCCAGGGTTACTTGTGGAGTACCACAGGATTCAGTGCTTGGACCAATTCTTTTTACTATATGCTTCCAATTGATAAAATCATTAGACAGCATGGGATAAACTTCCACTTTTATGCTGACGATGCTCAGTTATATTTATTCATTAACCCTGATGAACCTAATTGGTTAGTTAGATTACAGGCTTGTCTTGAAGACATAAAAAATTGGATGACTCAAAACTTTCTGCTTTTATATCAAGACGAGACAGAAGTTCTCATCTTTGGAAATGAAATTCAGAAAAGGAAATTGCTTAGCCAATCACCTGACCTGAATGGCATTAAATTAATCTCCAAGAACAAAGTAAGGAACCTTGGTGTTATCTTTGACCAGGACATGTCAATCAAATCCCAAGTTCAACAGGTTTGTAGGATTTCCTTTTTCCACCTTCGGAATGTTGCTAAGATTAGAATCATCCTTTCCAGGAGTGATGCTGAAAAACTAGCTCATGCATTTAATACATCAAGACTGGATTACTGTAATTCATTACTCTCAGGAAGTCCACAGAATGTAGTTAAAATACTTCAGCTTGTCCAAAATGCTGCAGCTAGAGTTCTGATGAGAATTAAAAAGAGAGATCATATCTCTCCTGTCTTAGCTTCCCTACATTGGCTACCTGTTAAATTCAGAATAGATTTTAAGATCCTCCTTCTCACATATAAAGCTCTTAATAATCAAGCTCCATCATATATCGGTGATCTGATTGTTCCATACGTTCCTAACCGAGCACTTCGCTCTCAGACTGCAGGTTTACTGGTGGTTCCCAGAATATCTAAAATTAGGATAGGAGGCAGATCTTTTAACTATCCGGCTTCTCTCCTGTGGAACCAGCTCCCAGCTTTAGTCCGTGAGGCAGACACCATGTCTACTTTTAAGACTAGGCTGAAAACATTTTTATTTGATAGGGCCTATGGTTAAAATCTGATGTTAGCACAGATCTGGACAAGTGGGGGAGTAGAGGGAGGTGGAGTGTACAGTCGGTAAAGACGGCTCTCCCTTGCCCTGCCCCAAACATGCCTCCATCTAAAAGGCTAGGTTATCCAGAGTTATCTCTGTAGTTATGCTGCTATAGGCTTAGACTGCTGGAGGATACACTGACCACTTTCTACACTCGACTGCTTTCTTCTACAATTTGCTCTTTAACTGTATTATTTCCTGCTATTTCAGCTGTTAACTTTATTTTTTCTCTAAGTGTTTTTCTCCCCAGAAGAAGCTACAACCATGTTCTGCTGAGCTGTGGTGGCCTCATGGAGGGGGCCATCGGCTTGAACCATCGTCTTGAACACTGTTGCTAACCATTTAATCATTCTCCCTCTCCTTATGAAAACATTTTACTTTCTTTGACATTGAGTGTGCTACTACTAGTTTACCCGTATAATTATAGATTCACCAGGATAAATACAATAAAGTTGATCTCTCACCAAATAGAATATTTACTAAGAAATCACAATGTAACCATAGAAACATTACTAGGTATATATGTTGTGTGTCTGCTCTGTCTTCTCCATCCCAAGTGAGTCGTGGTGGATGGTTGCTTATACTGAGCCAGGATCCTCTGGAGATTTTTTCCTGTTAAAAGGGAGTTTTCCTCTCCACTGTCACTGACACCAGTCAGTGACTTGATGCAATTTGCTGGGTTCCTTATATAGAAAACTTTTTACTGATGAACTGACCTGTATTGGAATGTTTACTATGTGAAGTGCCTTGAGACGACTCGTGATTTGGCGCTGTTTAAATAAACTTGAATTGAAGCTGCAGCAATTGTTTTAGCATTTTATTTAGATTTCTGGATCCTGTGAAGTTCTAGGTGACCCTCAGGAACCACTGCTCTACCGCACGCGTTAGAAACATCAGCTCAAGTATTTTTAAAGGTTCCTGTTTATTTGATAAGACGTCCCAACTCTCCTGCTAATAAACATCTTAGTTATCTAAAAATATTTCAAAGATGCCACTATTCTTTTCAATGTTATGGTTATGACCCCCCACTGACCCAGGATCTACTCTCGGTTTAGCAAAACGGCAAGAAAATCTCCATTTTGTTCTCCCTGTATGACGTGTGCTTCATGTCGTGTCTGAAGACGGGTAGGTGAGTGAGACGGCTGCAGAGCTGGGCAAGTAAACAAGAGAAGCAGATGGTTGGATGTCGCTCGGCTCCCTCAAAGACCGCTGCACCGAGCCGTGCCACGGATGGGAGGCCCGCTTCCTGCTGCAGACTACATCTCACCGCTCCTCACCCAGGTGGAGGCAACGGTTTAAAACGACAATAAAAACATTTCAAACTGACAGAGTGGCATTTTAATCAATGTACTGTTGACAATATAGCAAGTTATGCTCGTTAAAATATCCATGTTGGGAAAGAATTTGGAACAACCAACATATACATACAGTTGAAGGAAATAAAAGTATCCACAAACATTTTTCATCCTTTACACAACAAGGCGTTCACACGGGACAACACTCTTCCACACACACACACACACACACACACACACACACACACACAAACGCTTGACCTTGGTCACGCCACCTTCGTCAAACGCTTTTAGATTTTCTGTTGGTACAAAAACGGTCATTCTGGCAAAAATAACATTATCTAATAAGATCCTCCCTAAACCTGCCCTCTGTTCTCCAACTTCCTGTTTTATGTACAAGTGAGAAGGAAGTATGGCCTCGCCGTTTTCAAGGAAACAGATTTAAAGTGTTGTTTCTCACCATGTTCTCTCCTTTCTCATACAAAACAAGATTAATCTGAGGTAAGAACCGAGACAGTATCAAAATACCAAAACAAGATTGTACTAAATGCACCCAATATGTGGGAAAAAAGGGGGGACATGAGTTAGAACCACAAGTTATGAGACAAAAGAGCAGCAAAAACTGATGGCAAAGGAAATGTGAGAAGCTGTGGTCTTTACTGGCTTGTGTGTTTCTGATCAGAGACAAGAGGAGAGAGAGAGCGAGAGAGAGACGGGTGTCTCCCTACAAGCAGGAAGCACGAGGTGGATATCAGAGCTGCTGAGGGGAAGAAGTGATGCAACGGATGTCTGTGAATAAATTATCACCTTGAAGCTTTAACACGTCTGCCTTGAGCTGTGACGTGAATGCTAACACGCTCCACCCCGGCTAACATGCTGCTATTCCATTCTCACCAAAACCCACCTAAAGATAAGTCAGAATCTTTATAATCGGTGATCAACTCGTACAAATTGTGAATGGAAAGATTTCTCTGATGTCACCAGCTCCCAACTCCTCTGAAACACGCAGATGAAGCAAAAAGCCCCCAAAACAGGATAAACAATCCCAAAAGGCATGAATTAACACATCCACAGGGACAAACCGGGAATATCGCCTCATCCTGACAGCTAGCTGAGCGTGAGTTAAGGCAGTGATGCTGAGAACATGTTAGCTTCCCAAAAACGAGACCACACCCACCACCGAGCTTGTCCTGGAGACTCGAAGGCCAGAAAAGTAAATAATAAAAAAGTGTTTCTCTAATCCATCCATCAACAACAAACACAATCCTTTAAAGAAACATAATGTCAGAACACACACACACACACACACACACACACACACACACACACACACACACACACACACACACACACACACACACACACACACACACACACACACACACACACACACACACACACACACACACACACACACACACACACACACACACACACACACACACACATCAGAACAGACATTAAACACACGATCATCTTCATTCCAGTGAGGATGACTTATGAGATGATTTGTTTATATATATATTCTCTTGGTCTTTCACGGAAAAATTCCCCTTCATAAAAGCTCCGATCCCAGAAACAACAACAAAGTGAGTCCTTCAATCATCTAATTACAAACGCTATAATTTAATATTTTCTAGCTAACAATTTGAAATCGAACATTTTAAACATCACAAACGGATCCGAGAAGCGAAAAACAAAGAAAACGAGTGATTTTGAGGCGTAAATGCACTCTGGGCGAGTTAATGGCAAAGACGTGATCATACAAAAACCTTTAGCTAGAATTTGTTTTGGCAGAATATCAGACCAATCAAAAAAAGGGATCATTTCACAACCTGTTATGATCACCTGCTACCAAGCTGAAGATATATTACTATAATGATGATGATCAAGTGCACGGCAGTCTAACACAATCAGCACGTTCTTCCTTCACACAGAAGACACAGATAAGTGGACTGAGATGTGTAGGAGGAGCAGCTCTACAGAACACACAGACGATCACAGATGGTGTGGCTTCATACTTTCAGTCAGGACCCGGCCGGTTTACTCTTCCTACTGCAGCAGCGCCACACGCTGGAGTCCAAAGGTGCAACTGCTCGCTTTCTAACAGGATCTGACTCCTTCTTTATTCCCTGTGATAAATTTAGGGACAAATCTGTCATTAGCATTTCGAGGGATTCGGAGAATTTGGAAGTGGGGTCTATTAGTGCGCACACGTCCTTCGTTTACGGCCATGTTGGAGGCAAAGAGGTGAAAGATTCAAAGGGGAGAGTATGGTGGTGGAGGTGGGTGGGGTTCAGGAAGACTGCACTCAGTGCAACAGCTCCTCAAGCTCGCACTCTTTGAGCTTTGCATTGTCTCTGACATCATCGAATGTGTACGTCTTCACAATCTCGCCGTTATAAAAGACGGTGTGCAGAAGGTCCTGGACAGAAAACAAACCAGGTTAGAGTTTTATTGGTTTAGTGTTCACCGGTATCTGGAAGCGTTTGAGAACTCACCTCGCCGTACTCCTCCAGGTCTCCTTTGCCCTCCTCGAGAGTGACAAAATCTCCGTTGGATTTCCGGTGCAGAGACAAGCGACCTTTCTTTGACCTCTTGTTGGGGTCGGCCACAGGATCCTTGAACACGTTCACCTGAGCCACAGCACAAAATAAAAAATGTTCAAATTAAAGTTAAAGATGAGTTTCCTCAATTATTTTCTGTCACCCCCCCCCCCCAAGGGAACAGCTGAAAAGTCTGAGCGCTGCTGCCACCTAGTGACAGGAAGTAGATTGAGCATTCAAGCACGAAAAAAATAAATAAATAAAATATAAAAGACGCCAAAACTACCATCCAAAACACTCATGGTTGTCCTGTAGCATGGCGACACTCACCCCCAGTCCATTGGTCACCACGTAGCTGCACTTGAACGAGCAGTTGAGCAGATCTCTGGTCAGTTTTTGCAACAGAGCCCCTCCGGATCCGAAGGCGATGTTCTCGATGGACCACCGGTGCTGCTTCATCCCCTCCACTATCTGTAGAAACCACACAAACTGAACGTTGTCCCAACCTCAACCCCATAGAGAGAAACCCCCTTCCCCAGCAGGTGTCCTCACCTCCTGCAGCGTGTTGATGTCCACCCCGTCTCCTTGGATGACTCGGATGTACGGGGGCAGAACTTTGTACCCTTTAGAGTTCTCCTGAACAGGAAACTTCTTACCCAGGATCTCCAAAACCTGCAGAAGAGGACAAGGTTAAACAAAAGAAGGAGTGTTGATGAACTTTATTGCTCTAAACAAAACCATTTAATGACCTTCAGAACTGTGTCAAGCGGGTTTCCAGAGTCCGGTCGAATGACCAGCGGAGCATCGGCGCTGCGAGTCTCTATCAGCGCCCGTAGGTCCTCCCCCCAGATCTTCTCACAGGCGTTGTAGATGTCGTAGCTGTCACTGACTATCGACACGGGGACGTTGGGAAACTGCTTCACGATGTGCTCAAAGGCATCTTTCTCATGGTCCTTCCCCCACGCTGTGATGGTGCTACAGAGAGAAAGCAAACATCAGCAAGATTAGGACTTAAATGAACTTTAATCCAAGGTGGAGGGAAAAAGACGTCAAACATTTGAGCTGAAATGTCCAACAAGGACAATCACAAGACATTAATCAAGGGTCCAGAAGAGGGCGGTGTGCTCCATGTTTTATACACCAGGACAACTTTAGTAACTAGTCTACAGAAGAGCCTCAGAGAGCCCAGTCAAGTTTAAGTTATGGTGCCTGTAATCAACCGAGTTCAACTTTTAATGTGAAATCTGTAAATAAACCTGACTGTTATAAGAAAACATGAGTTCATGTTTTTATTACAATAATTATGTTAAAACAAACCACTCGAGCTTTGGTTCACTGTTTGTTGAACTAAAGGTTTTAAGGCACTGGCATCGAAGCTTTGCGTCACAAAGGTAAAAATCATACAAGTAGAAAATATTCACATTTAAATTTTTACTGGGACTATTTTATTTTTGCCTGCTCAAAAAAACAAAACAAAAAATACCAGAAACCTAGAAATCTAAATGTAAGAAACTAAGTCTGTGATGTTTGCTTTATTTATATTTGCATTTTAGTCAGTGTTGGGACACTTTTTCTTCAAAAGAGTGCGATACCAAGTTTAATGAATGGCTGTGCAGAAGTAAACTTTTCATACAAGTCAGTGAGGATTTGTGATCTTGTTTACAGAATTAAAATGGAAAACGCGGTTCATAAAATATGGTGTTTAGTACTTGTCCATTAGCTTTTACAAGACAAATGTCCAGTTTCTCTGTTAAACACGACAGTAAACATGAACAGCTTCAGGTTTCTGTGACTGAACCTGAGTCCCATCATTTAAACGCTGAGTAAACAAAAACAGGTCTCTGAACCTCCAGTATCAACAGAACTATCGCCTGCCACCCCTCCCGGGGTATCGGTCGCCAACGAGGACTCAACAGAACTACATTTAAAATAAAATCTTTAATTTTAATGAACAGGAACTAAAGATACCCTTTTCACAATTTTGAAGAAACCCATCTAATTAAATATTTATCAGAGCAATCCCAATTTCTCAAGATGACACCAGCAAGTCACAGTGACTCCTCCCACTGGGGTAAAAACAAAACTGGCTTTACGAGGGACTCATTATATAACGGTTGCCATGACAACCCCAGCCACCATCCCAGAATACTTTAGTGCAGAACTAGAATGAAGAGTGTGCTGGAGCAGCAGTAAGCGCTGCCGGTGAGGCGTGAGAAGCTGCTGCATGTGTGTGTGTGTGTGTGTGAGTGAGTGAGAGAGAGCGAGAGAGAGAGAGAGAGGTGCGTAAGCAATAAGCACAGATCAGGTGTAATAAAAGGCCGCTGGAGACGAGGACGAACCTGCATCTGGGTAGCAACCAGTCAGAAAACCCACCCCAGCTCCTCCTCCTCCGCAGACACGACCCATCAGACATGACGGATGATGACGGCAAGAACAAACTCTTACATTAAACATGAGCTTTAGTCAAGCCGGGCTCTTTTTGGTGCTGATGGGTCAAAATCAAGAGTTTAACTGCAAGGGTTTTACTTCTGGGAACAGACGAGTTACAGCACAACACCCATGCTGATAATTAACAACAACGCCTCCAGAGGTCAAGGGTAATAGGTGGAGAGCAGACATTTGTCTTTCTCTGGAGGACAGGTCTGCTGTACGAAGCAGGTGACAAACGACAGGTCTGTACAGGTGAGCTATGCGGACAGCAGCTTCGTTCTACAGCGATTACATAAATAAAGTTTGAGTAAAGAGTACCTGTGCTCTGCAGCTGGCACTGAGAAGCCCGGAACCGGGTCCTTGGTACCGTAGTACTTCTTAATGACTCCGATCCCGGCGACGGTGTCTGTTCCCTTGAAGTTAACCAAATGGGCCGAAGCTCCAATACCAGCAGTCTGTGAGCGATGAGGCGTTAAAAGGTTAGTACAACAATAAACAAGTTTATATTCACCACACTCTAAACTATAATCACTAATAGCTGAACAGGAAAGAACGTGGACTACTGCAGCCGGAACAACTGCTAAAGCATTAAACCTGAAGATTTTGACTCAAAAGGCTGAATTATAATTTGTTTAACACTCTTTACTTTCACTTTTACATTTTTTACTTGTAAAAGCCCATTTTGAACAGCATGCCAATTTACAACAGAGAAAAACCCGTTAAACTGTCAAAACAAGTCTGTCTCCATAACAAATACCAGACTGATAATGGTCTAGGTCTCTAGGATGCACCCGGCATCGGGCCTATTTCTGTTTCTACAAGCAAAGAGAAGACATTATGTACGTTATGTCAATGATCTTCCCTTTCCAAGGGAAGCAGGGCTTTTATTGTGAAGGGTTATGCCTCATATGCTTTCAGCATTATGAAGATGTAGTCTGCCTTGTGTGTTGGCAGTTCTACCAAGTTCTCTCAACCTCTGGACATAACGGTGAGAGGAATGAATGAGAAAGTAATTTAAAACTGTGATATTAGTACCACAGAAAGATTACACCAGTGTAACCATTAAAACCAGTCATCGCCTTGACCACACGTCGTACCTCTTGAGATGACACACCCCTGTAGCCGAAGTCGTGGAGTTTATACTCCAGACCCTCCAAGCTCCCTGACGTCTCCAGGAGGTACTTGGCCAGTATCTTTTTCTGCTCTCTGGAGTTGGTTGCCACGGTGATGGGGTACCAGATCTGAACCAGGATAGTCTGATTGAACGGGGGGGAAAAAAATATGAAAATCAGTTCAAGTCGGTGGATTGTTTTGGTTTAAGTTTCCAATTTTTCAAGTTTCTCATTCCCGTCTAATCTGCAGCTTCGAGTAAAAGCTGTTTAAGTCGCTTTGACTTGCAGACGGTTGTCGTCCCAAACCGTCTGGTCCAACTGTCCCCGGCATTCATCTGCTGTTAGAACCCAAAACTAACAACCTCAGAGGGATCAAGGAAGAATGTTCTCTCTCACAAGACAAACAGTGGGGAAATGCATTCCTCGATGCTTCGAGCTAACTCCACCGAGTCAAAGATTTGAATATGAAAACAAAAGGATTATGAGGCAGGGAAGATTTATGAAAACACTGTTTATACAATCTGAGTTATGAAAGATGATGGTGAAGATCTGGCTGTCTAGGTTTGTATCAGTCAAAGCAGATTCATGGTATCTTTACACTTCTAATGATTAAATCTCATCAGTCATTAGCTCAACAGAAACATGATAGGATATGCAAACGTTTAGCAACACTAGCCGACAGAAATGCTTTAAGAGTAGGGATGAAACAATATATCTGCATCAATGTCAGCAGATGTTAGTCATTTTTTAACACATCGGTATCGGTCCGATAAATAAAACTGGGTCAATATTAACATCTTGTTTCCATTTGTTTATCCGTTTCAGAGGGTGAGGGGCTGGTGTGTATTTGTTTAGTCATGTGACAGTGATTATAATCAGAAGCGTAAATGTGTGTGGTGTGTACATAATAATGTAAATTCAGCTGGAATACATTTCATTCTATACTAAATCTGCTGATCTTAGAAGCATTAATGTCAGTATATCGGTATCTGCAAATATTGGAAAACCCCACCCCTCAGGGGGCGAATCCCCCGGAAACTGGAGCTTTTTCACGAATTTGAAGTGGTTCTTGGCTCTCTGGGGCATGTTTTTAAAAATTGTCCTCACTATTTACTCACTGTAAGCCGTCATTTTCCTTAAATATCTCCATTCGTAAATGCGCAGTGTGAACTTCCTTCCGGTTTCCTCTATGGGCACCGCCATTTTAAATGTCCTCACACATGCGCCTAGTGACTTGTACTCGTCCCTTCTATGATGTTTTCTAGCAAACAGTCAGGGAACACGCAGGGGATCTGTTTTGAATCGATCTTGGAAAAGAAGGAAATCGCATTTCATTTGTCGGGAGGGCAGTAAACAGTAATGTTTCAGAGTCATTTTTGGGTGGGGCATAAAAAAATGGCTACATCCTTCTGTTCTGCAACTAGCAGGGTGGGCGTCCAGCAATCAGTGGCAAGATGTCTGAATATCAGGAAATAATACAGAGAAAGACTCCAGATCCTGTTGTTCTCTGCTCCTCTCTTCCAACTGACTTCTGGTTCCTGAAACAGGAGTACTGAATCTATGAAGTTAACTTTAATCTGCTGCTCATCTGAAATGTTAGATATTAGTGATGCACCGATATGAATTTTTAGGCCGATAGCGATATCCAATATTGAGATTGCTGTTATGGCCGATACTGATATACTGACATTAATGCTTCTAAAATCAGCAGATTTTGTATAGAATGAAAATGAATAAAGCTGAAATTACGTTACAATGTACACACAACACACACATTTATGGCTCTGAGATGATTTCATTCACTGTTCACTACGGTTGTCACAGTAACTGGTGTAGCGGTAAACACAGGTAAAAAAGTTGACAATAATAACCGTCTTGTTTAAAAAAAAACAACTATATTATCTCGGTGGATTACCGTGGCTGCGGTGTAGGCGCGGTGACCCTTACCAGCCACCGTATCATCTGCTGAAGTTGCCGGCGGCACATGCGCACTTTGTTGTTTACAACCAAAACTTTCTTGAAGCTAAAGCTGAAATAATGGCCAAAGGAGGAGACGGCAGCGCTCAGGAGGACATTTTTTATCCCTCAAAGAAGACAAAGTGGGAAGTACGGGCATCTTTTGGATATTTGAAGAATGCCGAGGGACAGTTGATAGAAGACGGCTATCCTGTTTGCAACACCTGCAGAAAAAGTGTCTGTGAAAGGCAGCAACGCTTCAGATCTCATGACACATCTGCGTGACCATCACCCACAACTCTACAGTCAACGCAAGGTAAGCTAACGTTAGCGTTTTAGCTAAAATGTGTGATCCGAGGATTTGGGTTGAGGGAGAATGCAACGAGTGGCTATATAAAGCAGCCGCAGCGCCGCTACCTGCATATAAACCGTGTCGCGGACACCCCCATGTTGAAATGACGCTATGCATTACGGGGCTCCCAGGGGCAGATAAGAGTTGGTCTCTCTCCGAGAATAATTATGAATTTAACAATGATTACTGCCTGATGACATTTTCCCCACATCTACAAAGCTCGCTGGAAGGACCCAAACTGAGGATGATATTTTCCTGATATAGGGTTTATTACTCAAGTAAGGGTAAAAAAGTATCTGATTAGAAGGCTACTTGAGTACTGAGTATCATCTGAACTAATATTTTTAAAATGATGACATCAAACAGACATAAAATAAGAAGTTATGGGCAAATATTGGTATTTTAAAGACTAAATGGGAAAAATGTAAACAAATAAACAACATAATTACAAAATAACACATTTTAGGCAAAATTTAGACACAAACTGAGGACAATATTTCCTGATATACAGGGTTTATTTAGTTGTCTGAAAATGTAACACGTTTAAAAAAATACTGCGATAATACCGAAAACCGTGATAATTTTGGTCACAGTAACCGTGAGGTTACATTTTCACACCGCGACAACCCTACTGTTCACATAACTAAACAATTACACATCACCCCCCCCCCCACCCCCCCCACCCTCTGAAACAGGCAAACAAATGGAGACGAGATGGAAAAAATATCGGTTGTTAATATCAGCCCGGTTTTATTTATCAAACCGATGCAGACATGTTAAGAAAATGCCGATACCCATATCGATGCCGATATATTGTCTATCCTTAATAGATATCTAGTAGATGTCTGCCTAATATATGTTAAAACGACTACCTAGTAAGGTTTTAAGGATTTGAGATTTCTTAAACTTAATTCCTACTTCTGCAATTGTTAATATATAAAAATACTTAAATTAAATAAAAATAGCTGTTGACACCTTTAAGAATGATAAAAAGAATAATATTTGGAATACGATCAATTATATTGTTGCCATCTAAAATAGGAATTAGGCTAGAAAAACGTGTGATTGTTGATAAAAAGTTAAAATGGCCCACCACACAGACGGGTCATGCTTCTGCTGGCAGACTGATGCCATGAATAACGCGGTGCTTTGTTAAATTACTGTTATTTCTCTCTCCCTTCCTTACATTTTTTTTCTTTTCTCCTTTTAAAAATACTTGTAATCATTTTAGAAATCTTTTTATACTTAATTTAATATTTTTGATTTTGTGAAGCGCCTCGTGATTTTTATCTTGAGAGGAGCCATGTAAAAGATTGTTTTCTTTATTTTCCATATTTAGATACATAACTTAGCACCGCTTCTTTTTACTTTAGCAAAATGCAGCAAGCGCTTTGATTTTTTCAGCATTTTCTAAGTCCACCTCCTCATAGGAGTTTTGTAAAACTCCAGTCAGTGCACCAAATCGCCAGAAAAGTCCAGAAATCCGGTAGAGAAAAAAAAAAAACGTAAAAATCACATCCATGTGAGAGGGAAGAGGAATGTTGACCTAATGACGTAACACAAGGACATCAGAGTGTCAGCCATGAATAATTACCCAACGTGTATGTATGTGTATTTATATCAGCCACAGCTAGAGGTGTGTGTGTGTGTGTGTGTGTGTGTGTGTGTGTGTGTGTGTGTGTGTGTGTGTGTGTGTGTGTGTGGTGTATCCAATTTTATCAGGGCGTGCGTGCGTGTGTGTTGTCACAATGCTCTCGGCTGTGGGTGACCTTCGTTACGGTCTTGTCGGTGCTAGCTTAGCTACAGTCTGACTTTGTGCAACATGCTTTTGTGGAGAAATCCCTGCAGACATCATCTGTGGGAACAGTCGAAGGTGATACTGGGAAAAAAAAAGGCCGACGTGAAGAAAGAGAAACTGAAATGGGACAAAAGGCGGCCTTCTGAGAAGTGAAAATGAAACTGAACTCGAGTCTTTGTTCACTCAGCAGGACAGGAATTTGTGTATTCTGATTTATCTGGTATTTTTTATTATAGTGAACACATTTTTATAGAAAGTCTCCCGATGGACATCTCTAAAAAGTCCATGAGTCCTTCAAATCTGTCAGGCTCAGTTCATATTGAGCTGAGGCTGCTGTCTGACAGTAAGGAAATAAAATAAAATCTGTTTTTCTTTAGGACTCCAAAATAAACACGACCTGAAAGAGTCATCATAACAGGCCTTGCTCTGTAATCTCCTCTAAGCTCAGCTAACAAAGCAAACTAACTCACCTCCACCCAGTTGGTCAGCCAGTAGCATTCAGGGTCTGTGTTCTCCACTGTGAACAAAACGTTGCCTCGAGGGATGACGCTTCCTTCAGGCACCGCTTTGATTTCAATGGGCAGGTGTCCATCGTACTTCTGTAAAACACAACATTAGAAATAAAAACAGTGTTAGGATCAGTGTAGATTTACTGTAATGAAGGTTCTGCTCCATATTTTCTGCACAATCGAAGCAGCACCAAATCAGGATATGTGCTTGTTGCAGGTGTGTGCATTAAAGGTAATCATTACAATAAATAAAATATTGCTTATGTTCATTAATCTCGGCTGTTTAATTGCAAGATGAAAGACAAAAGACATAAGATGAAAGAAAAATGATTGTTTCTTCTCAAAAAGGAACATCAGTACGAAACGCAGTTCTCTCTCCACCGTACAGAAACCAGATCTGTGCAAACAAATATTATTGTTTCAATTTCACCCTGTTTGAAGGCTGAATACAGTTTTAAGGGGTAAAGATGGCAGAATGAGGGCAAAACCCACCGGTAGTGTGTGACGTATAAAAATATACAACTTCTGTTTGACTCCTACACTCAGTGGTGCAGCTTCCAACAATTCTTTAGAAAGGTTCAAAGTGTTGATGCTCAAGAAGAAAGAAAGAATAAATAGATGTATTTTATATTTGTTTGGACATCCGGGCTGCCATAGAAGCTTGTCTCTGCCTTTATCATACCTGCAAATGCAGAAGGTGTGAAAAAGGTGGCAACTAAAATATACAACCCCAATCAATTATTGGTGTTTAGCTAATAAACCGATTCAGTTTGATTTAAATGATGAAAAGTTTTAAACGTAATCCCTAAAGTTGGGGATGTTGAGACTAGACCTCTGGCTTTTCTCATGTCCTGTTCGCCACCTATGCCTATTATGAGCTTTAAGCTTTTCTCCACATGATACCTTTCATAATATCGGTGCAATTATAGATTTAAAAAAAAACATGCGTGGAAGTCTTTAAGCTAGGGATGCAACAATACCACTTTTCTCCAAAGCGTTACGATGCCAATATTTGGATCTGAGTACTCGCTGATACCGATTACAGATACTTCTAACACACAACAAAATGCAATGAATTGGAATACAGGTTTTATTTTCTTCTCTGACTTCAACAGGAAAAGACGGTGAGGTAGACAAAAAATAAAATATAATAGAAAATATCACAAAACTAAAATATTAGGTGAACAGAAATGACAAGTTACAGTGAAGCCACTTTCAGGCTGCTGCATTGGTATCGGTTCATGGTATCGATGAACTTTTACCAATAGCAGTATTGGTATCAGCACCGATCCCAGTATTGATGCACCCCTACTTTAAGCAGTAGAAAGTGTCTCAAATTAAACTGTGTGAATGTCTGAATTACCCACAGCAGTGTCTTACCTCCAAAATGTAATTCCAGCCCTTCTCGTTGAAAACATCATCCTGGAAGTGTTCTCTGTACACCTCCTTCGCCTCCTGAATTTTCTCTGGAGTCACTACTTTTCCTGGGAAGAAATGGTGGTATGGACAGAAGGGGGGTGGAGAACGAGGGAGAAAAGCAGCAGAAGTCACTGCAAAGCTCCTCTGTTGTGTTCCACAGTAATTAGAGACTGCCAGTGCATGCTGACTAAGCACTTTTGTCCACCACAGTGCACCCCCCCCCCCCCCCCACACACACAAACTCAGATGCATATCTAAACCATAGGAGCTGCTAAAAAAGGTAAGGGCAGGACGTATGAGGATGGTTTTCAGAGGTGAATTCCTTTATTTGATCAATATCAAGAATAATCTTTTGTTTTGATGCTAGAACCTAAAATGTCTTCATAAGAAGAAGAAGAAAGTATAATTTCTATAGCGCCTCTCAAGATAAAAATCACGAGGCGCTTAAGACTGTTTTCCTTACAATCCTACTCTGAACCACACTTAGGGCTCTGTAAATATGAGGCTCAATATGATGCTTCTGTGAAAGCCGGCAAAGACAGCGAGAGGGGGGGGGGGGGGGGGGGGGGGGGACACCATCCAGGGTCAACTGGTCTTTCTTCCTCCAACAGTGAAACAGCAGCTGTCCTTTTGTCTTCTGTCCCTCTGTTGTCTCTGACACTCTCCCCTGAACCTCGCTTGCTACGCTATGAAATCCTCTTAGGGACGACGGGAGGCAGATGCTTTCTTTCAACTCTGTCTCTTGAACTTTCAGGAACTCTTGTGAACGGCAAATTAGGGTTAATTGGGCTGAGGATATTTTATTTCTCACATTTTGCCTTGATCAGACTTCTCTTCACTGGCCTTTATTCTTACCTGTTCTTTGTTTTTAATGAATGAAGTGAATAAAACAGTGGCGGCTACAGGCTTGGATGGAGAGCACCTGCCTTATTTGAATAAATTTGAACATGCCACCTTTAAATTTGGATGAAGAAAAAAAGACGAGCGTTCCGTTATGTAGAAAAACGTGTCCTTCTGAAATATAACACACCCGACTCTTACGCCAATTTCTCTTAAATGAAGTCCTTCTCTTTATTAATTAAATGGTAGGGCAGGGTTGGACGTAAATATTACGGTACTGTATGGCAGACAAAAAACGTACCAGGAGCGGGTGGTAATGCTCAGAAAATCAGCATGAGAGAAATTTTAAAAAGCACTCCTGTGCTTAAGGTCTCATTCACTCGTTTTCAATAAATCTGTGCTGTCTAGTGTGAACGAATGCCTTGTGAGTCATTTTCAGTAGAAAGAAAAACTCTGGCACTCCTGTTTCGAAGGGTAGGCATTTGTTAGAGTGGGTCAGTAAAAAAATGGCAGGATTACAAGTTTGACTCACTAATATTTATAATATGCAAAAATTTCATCTTTGATTGGTTAACAGCAACACAACCCTTTTGATGCCACCGCCCACTTTTCTTTCTTGGGTAAAAGATTCATTGTTGATGTTTTACCTCCACAGATAACACAAGCCGGATTGTGTATCATCGTGTTGTGGAGTTGCTAATGCTAATGGTTAGCTTCTACTAGCCGAGACGTGCTCTGCCCTCTCCTGGCTGCAAAATCAACACAGCTTTCTGTGGTAGGAACCAAGGTGGCTAATGCAAGAAATAGGGGTAGAGGACTATTTTAAAAAAGAACAAACATTACATGGTGAACAAGAACTTCACCTATCAAAATAACTCAAGATTATTTTTCTTACTTTTAACTTGTAAGAAATAACATTTTAGCTGAAACGTTGGCCAAAAATAGAACTGTGAGGGTAGGGTATAGATCCTAAAGCAGAACTGGAAAGTTGGCCTCGATTTATTTAAATAACTGGTTTGACAAGAAAAAAGGGGAGGAAGCTAGCCTAGAAATCTAGACAGGCAGTAGTAGAAGCAAAATGATTTTGTTCTGCATGTCAGTGTAGCCACACTCCATTGGAACCTCAGCAGCTCGAACCAATATTGCGGCTTGCCAATCACATCGCTTTATTGGTTTGGTGGGCGGGATGCTATTGGGACTGAGCTAAGATGGCAGTGGCTCATTTAAAACTACTTCGGCATCAGCTTTGGACATTTTAGACTTGGGCCTATTTTTGAGTCAGGACCAGATAGAGGTACTTAGGTCAATTTTGTAGAAAAGAGATGTATTTGCATTTCCAACAGTGTATGGCGGACTGCTCCATTGACTGACAACTGTACTGGTGAGTATGTCCCATTGTTTGTTGTTCAATAGCACACAGCTTGAAAAGCAACTGTAGACTCTGCCCTACAACTGAGCTTAGTCTATGGGCCGCAGTCAGACTAAATATTCACTTATATAGGACGGCTCGCCAGGCTAAGAGGACACAGCTTCAAGAGGGTGACTTTCACAATTCAAATACTGGTAAAAACTTACCCTTTAAGTATTTGTGGAGGATGTACTGAAGGCCATAAAATACAGTTTGGTCGTACTTGACTTTTCTGCTTTTGGTAGAATCCGTCCTCTTCTCGCGGCACTCAAAGTAAGAGTACATTTTACTCGTGTTGGGGGGATACTGTTTGTAATGTGTTACCTGTCCAAAGACAAGAACAAAATAAACATCAGTGTCGACATTGAACAGAACATTGTTCTTCTCCCCGTGTGTTGGTGGCTGTGGCTTCTGCAGACTATCCCATCTTTAATGTATATCGGTGAGCTGAGGCGAAGGGGTCTGCTGCATTTAGCACCAAGTATGTTTCAACCAAAACAAAATCCAAACACAGTTTTGGTTTATGATTTCAGACACACTTTTCAGTAAGTCTCATTGGCGCATGAAAATATCTGACAACACTAACAATTAGTCTCGTCAAAGCAGAGATTAAGTGAACTAGAGACGAGTGAGTTTATTAATGACTTTGTGTGCAGAATTAGATGATGTGCTATAAAACACTATAATAAAGAGATGCCTGTTTAACTATATGCATGTCATAAATATAAAATATAATGTGAGTATTAAGTTTAACAAAAGACCATTTGTTTCTTTATTTGGTTTTTAGTTTAATGAACTCCATGCAGATTTTACAACCTTAATAAAGTGCTGAAAGTTCAGTTGGACTGAAAAACCTTTATCTGGGTTTTGTAAAAACTGGTTATTATAAATGAAATTTGAAATATTTTACCCTTGACTGGATGCTTGGATGTTTTACTAATCCACCATTATTGTGTTTTTTTTTTTTTTGGAAAAAATTGAGCAGCATATTGACACACCAGGAACAAGTGATTTTGCCATGTGTTCTTAATGTTTTGCAATGCACGGTGAACAAATACTGCTCTTTTCTGGTGAACTGACGAAACGTTTTGTACAAATGTTGAAGGATTTCGTCATGCGTTAAAATTTAAAACCCAGACATCTGATCAAATCTTCCACATTTATTAGACAAACCTGAATTTAAAAAGGACAAAGGGCTAACAGCATGTTTGATAATTACTTCATATTAAATTAAAACACATTGATAGTCCACAATCAGGGAACGACGTGTCAGAATTACAGACACACGTTCTTACTTTTCTACTCAACTGTTAGAAATCAAACAATCACAGTTACAAATGTGCCGCATGTGGAAGAGTAAACAGTTTAAGACATGTCAAGGCATGTTTGAAACGTAAAACACAGGATGAGGAGGAATCAATGGTTCCTTTTCAGAAAATCTTAGAGTGAATTAAATCTCAAGTGCGTGGAGGAAATTCCTGGGAGTGCACCGGGGCGTTTGAGGATCACAGCAGCTCAGAGTCTGCCAATGAAGAAACGAAAATGCTTAACTAATCAACTGTTTTCTGTTAAAGTTCCACTATTAATTTTTAAGAGAAAGTGACCAGCGTTGTTTTCATTAATGATGACCATGACTGATGATGACCGACGCCCCTTTTTCTCATGACAAAAAGGAGACGCTGAAGAGTTAAAAATAGCTCTTTGGTGATTAAAACATAAGACAAGTGGGACTTTTTGTTGACGAGACTGGACGAAAATTATGCCTAAATGCACATTTATGCCAGTCTTACAAAAGCTATAGTTGCTGCGGTCTCTGGGTCAGCAGGACCCAACGGACGCAGCACACAAGATCGCTTTCTTGCTGGGGGAGAGTGCGTTGAAAAACACAGTTGCTCATTGAGAAAGTAGTGTCGAGGCTACTTTTAAATAGAAAAGGAAATTGATTAGGCAATCACCTGATCTGAATGGCATTAAATTAATCTCCGAGAACAAAGTAAGGAACGTTGGTGTTATCTTCGACCAAGACATGTCATTCAAATCCCACGTTTAACAGGTTTGTAGGATTTCCTTTTTCCACCTTTGGAATATTGCTAAGATTAGAAGCATCCTTTCCAGGAGTGATGCTGAAAAACTAGCTCATGCATTTTTTACATCAAGACTGGATTACTGTAATGCATTACTCTCAGGAAGTCCACAGAAAGTAGTTAAAAGTCTTCAGCTTGTCCAAAATGCTGCAGCTAGAGTTCTGATGAGAATTAAGAAGAGAGACCATATATCTCCTGTCTTAGCTTCCCTACACTGGCTGCTTGTTAAATTCAGAATAAACTTTAAGATCCTCCTTCTCACATATAAAGCTCTTAATAATCAAGCTCCATCATACATCAGTGATCTGATTGTTCCATACGTTCCTAACCGAGCACTTCGCTCTCAGACTGCAGGTTTACTGGTGGTTCCCAGAATATCTAAAAATAGGATGAGGCAGATCTTTTAGTTATCAGGCTCCTCTTCTGTGGAACAAACTCCCAGCTTTAATCCTTGAGGCAGACATCTTGTCTACTTTTAGGACTAGGCTTAAATCATTTTTATTTGATAGGGCCTATGGTTAAAATCTGATGTTAGCCTAGATCTGGACAAGTGGGGGCGTTGAGGGAGGTGGAGTGTACAGTCACGGCTCTCCCTTGCCCTGCCTCCAACATGCCTCCATCTAAAAGGCTAGGTTATCCTGAGTTATCTCTGTAGTTATGCTACTGTAGGCTTAGACTGCTGGAGGATATACCGGCCACTTTCCACACTCTTAATACTTTCTACTACAATTTGCTCTTTAACTGTATTATTTTCTGCTATTTCAGCTGTTAACTTTATTTTTTCTCTAAGTGTTTTTCTCCCCAGAAGAAGCTACAACCATGTTCTGCTGAGCTGTAGTGGCCTCAAGGAGGGGGCCATCGGCTTGAACACTGTTGCTAACCACTTAAACATTCTCCCTCTCCTGATACAGTACATGGTATATATGTTGTGTGTGTGTGTGTGTGTGTGCGTGCGTGTGTGTGTGCGTGCGTGTGTCTGCTCTGTCTTCTCGATCCCCAGTGAGTCATGGTGGATGGCTGCTTATACTGAGCCAGGATCCTCTGGAGGTTTCTTCCTATTAAAAGGGGGTTTTCCTCTCCACTGTCGCTAAATGCTTGCTTAGTATGAGGATTGCTGTAAAGTCACTGACACTAGTCAGTGACTTGATGCAATTAGCGGAGTTCCTTATATAGGAAACTTTTTACTGATTTGCTGAATTAACTGACCTGTATTGAATGTTTACTATGCAAAGTGCCTTGAGATGACTCTTGTCCTGATTTGGCGCTCTATAAATAAACTTGAATTTAAATATATTTGTGATTAACACATTTCTTATCCGTGTGCTTTTCAAAAAGTCATGATATTGGGCAGACTTTTTATGAACAAGAGTTTGTAGAGTGGATAGTTAGTTCCCCTAAAACCTAAGCAGCATTAAAATGATTCAAAAAGCAGCGACAAAACTTCTCCTCAGCCGGTATGTATGGCCAAGAGGAGATAAAGGTCAATGAACTACTCAGTTTCTTTGACCTGAGCGTGTCCTTTCCTTTGGGCTTTTGAGGACTCAAAATAGACACTGGGCTGGATCATGTGTGATATTTTCTGACACACATGCTGATGTTTACACACACAAACCATGTAATGATAAAATCACAATACTGTCTTATCAGTAAAATTAGTCAGATTACATATATGTGGTCTATAGCAGTGGTTTATATATGGTAGGTTTGTCCCAGTATTCTGATCTTCCACTTATAGTGAGAATATAAATATTTTGCAAAATGCAAAAGAAGAGCATTTTTGACTAACCTTAACCAATTATCTGGTGACATAACCTACCGGCCATTTTCACCTTCTCCTCTAGTTGGATTCGTTAGCCGTGACCTTGCAACTGACATGTATATGTTGTAATTTGAGTGTTTACAACAATGGTGTCCAAATCATTCAAGACGCGTGACAAAACTGCCAAGCTGAAAGCAGATATGGTGCCCATAATTTTGCTTCGTAAAAGCCACAGAGGGTTTGAGGCTCTGTTTACCATGTGGGATATATTTGTTTCATGACAGACCTTTACAGGAAAGTTTCACGGTTAACTCCCTGGGTGTCAATCATACTTCTTCATTTCAGAATTGGTAACCTCTGCTAAATATGGTACAAAGTTTGTTTTGGTTTCATTTGTAGTTTGTAATACATGGTCTCATCAGAGTTATTCCAGAGGGCATAGAAGAGGAATAGGAGTACATGGAGCTGGGTTTGTTGTTGCATCATTAAGAAACAGTTGTTAAAGTTTTCATTTTGAAGAATTTTGTACAACACTATGATGATAAAATACAGTTGTTTGTTATTTATCATGATATTTATCAAATATGGTTATATATTGGGAAAATAGGGCTGTAGCGAAGCCTCGAGGACGTCGACGGCTCGATTCTAAAAATTTGTCGACGTCAGATCCGGAAGTCGACGCACCGCGCCCACTTGTTGCATCCCCAGGAGTTTGTAAATAGAGGAGGAATCTGCCTGTTTTTCCTCTAGTTCGCCCTCTCCTCCGCCTTCACTAACATCTCCGCCAAATACCGAAGACCCGGAACAACGTCCGTCCGCTACTAGATTATTTTCCTGTGTTGCCCGCCTTCGTCTCCCGGCAACGGAGAACAACTTCCGGGGTCAGATGCGCTGCTTCGTCTCTACCGCAGATGTAGAACATCACCGGGAGCGTTTCTCCCTTCATTAAGGAGCTTCTTTCAGACATGAGGAGAGCTGTTTTGGTGGTAGCGGTCTCTCCTCCATGCTGGTCTGTTTGCTGCTGGGTGTTTTTGGTTTATTTAAACTTGGTAACTTGAACATAACGTTGGTAAAGCTACTGTTAGCATCTTCGCTAACAGCTTCTTGCATTGGGATAAGCTGTTATGTTTTGGTTTAGAGTTCATCTTTTTTGTGGTGCAGATCTCCCTTTTATTACATTTAGAGTGTTGTGGGTTTTCGGTTTAGTGTAAAATATCACCTTGAGTTTGGTTTAACCACCCAGTTTAGAGTTTGGACTTTTGGAGATCCTTCTTTTGGTCCAGAACCCAGTAATCTTTGCCCAGTGGGACATCCCTAGTTATTTGTACTTTGTTTTAATTCCCCACAGGCAGAATTAGTATTATTATTCCCAACCTGTGGATGGAAAGATTTATGATTTTTTGTAGTTGTAAATAAACCTGATCATCATTTTAACTTTTAAATCCCGTTATTGTCCCTTCCTTTTTGCACACGCGCCAAAC